AGAAATAAGTAAAAAACAATAGTCTTGAAAAAGCCAAGTTGCAAGCAAAGCGGTTCCAAAAGATCCCAAGCAAAGCAGAATATCGAATTCAAAACAGTATTGCAAGTGTGCAAGTATTTTAAAGACTAGTGGTGTGAAGGTTGTGTGAAGAATGAAGTCGTGTGTAAAAGTGCAGAGGGGCAGTCCTTTTTATAGTGCAGAGAAATAAGTAAGAAAGGCAAGGAATATATCATTGAAATCAGTCTCCCTTTGGTTAAGGGATTCTGATTTCGACGGGTAAAAGCCAGATAAGGAAAGAAATTTTAATTAAAACTTTTCAAAGTAGCACAAAAGGGGTAAATACATAGAAGTTATTTAAGGAAAACAATCAATGGTACACGGTTTGTGACAATTATGGAAAGGGAATCAATCAAACAGCCAGTGAAACCAAAATTACAAGTTCAATTTGAATGAACCAAGTCAGGAAAAGGTAAAGGAGATTCAATCAAAGAAAATCAGTCGGACCTTATTAAGAGGATTTCGGAATCAATCAATTAGTTGGAAAAACCTTTTGAAAGCAGAGTCCTTATATATAAAACACACAAATCAAGAAGGGATTGTCAAATTATTTAGAAGAGGGTTTAATCAAAGAGGGGTTCAGAATCATAAGCAAAAGTGGTACAAGTCCAATTTGTAGACTCACGAGGAGTCTGAGAGTCCAGGGTCCCAAAGAGGAACGCTAACTCGCACACAAGAATCAAAATTGCCAAGAAACCCCCAAATCTTAGGGTTTCGAATTGAGTCAGACAATAGAGATGAGAAGGCAAGCCGCATGATAGAGGCTCAGGAGTCCTTTCCAAAGACTCATGAGAAACAAACAAACAAGATACACAGTTAAGAGCATGGAGAACACGTTTGAAAAACTCAGAATTTAACAAGTTCAGAAGAAAAAGATACAAACTTAGGCAAAACAAGATGAATCATGCTTAGTAAAAATACAAACATAGTACATTAACGCCAAGAAAATCAAAGAACTCAATCGTAAACACATATAGCATTAACATGTGAGCATAGGAGAAAAGAAAGTAGAAGAACACTACATGCATAGTAAAAGAAATCGGACAAACACACATAAAGAAAGAACAAAAAGAATCAGAAGGGTATTTTGAAGAAACTTTTCGGAAAACCTAAATCGAAATTAAACGATTTTGAAAAAAAGAGAATCTGGGGAAAACCTTTAAAAAGTTCAATAGAACACAGACATGTTCCAGATCTAAGAGAATAAGCAAGTAAAGAACCTCGAACAGTTTAGGGTTGTAAAGAAAACCCTAGAAATGAGAAAAGTCTTGAGGAAAGTCAGATCCTGAGTCGAAAAGGCTCATATTGCTTGAATACGATGAAGTAGTGGCCGGAGAAGCCATAGATCGACAAATCTGAGAAGATCTTGAAGAGAACCATCGAAGTCAGGCTTCACAGCCTTGAATGGCTTAGGTCTAATGGTGAGAAAGGGTGAGTACAGACCGTCCATGGCCTAAGACGCCATGGATTCCGGTGGAATCACGCTGGAAAAGGGGTCGGAGACGATTAGGGTTCCAGGAGGGTTCGAGAGAGTTTGAGAGACGAGGGGGTTCAAAGACGGCTGATAGGTGGAAGTGATTAGGGTTTGGGGGGGGGGGTTGGGTAGATAAAGTAAAGGGGAAGTT